TAAAGTACTACCAATTTACTGCACTGCAGTTTACTGATGTGATAGCTGACATTACCTGATATATCTTCAGAAATGTGCTACTCTGTTCACGTAACCATGTTTAATACAGACAGATACAGTGGAAAAAATGTAAAATCTTCACAATTTTCCTTTTTTTCATCACACTGTGGTTTAGAGTGAAGTGGTCTTTTCCCCTCTGGATCACTTCATTACATCTAGTCCAGAGAACCAGCTGAGAAAAAGACACTTGCAGCCATGAGGCACATGGTTAATTTCTGCATAAGGGATCAGCAATCCTTGAAAACAATGTCCACACTCTATTCAAGTGCTCAAAATCTTTCTTTAGTAAGGATTTGTTTTACAGTAAGTTGCTGATGTGTATAGACTAATAAAACTTTAAACAGTTTAATTTGGTAAGCATGGAAAATGATCTGAAGTGCTTTAACAAATTTTTCCTGGTGCTGTAAACTGTCAACTGCCCTAGAATTTCCGCTATGACTATGTTGGTGCATTCAAGTCCTCCTAGAAAATTCGTATTTAAAAGTTATTTATTTACTCATTATTTACTCATGCAACGTCACATATTCAAATCAGATGTATAAGACAGACCTAGCCCAAACAAAACAAAATAATTATATTGTAAAGAATAAACCCAAATAACGTCTTAATTCAAAATTATGAAAAATAAAGTTAGCGTCTGTCATTTACAACTACATGGCATAAAAAATAATGTGTAGTTATAAAATACAGCATGTAAAATCAAATTATCTTGAAAACCCATTCATTACCATTCACTACAGACTTGAAAACGTCACAACACGTGCATCATCTAGAATTCCGACTAATAGCAACTTTGAACTCCTAATTACGATTATTCCGAATCCGACCTCATAAAACTTCATAAGCGCCGCAGCAAAAATGGCTGCCCACTGCTCCGGGTGTGTGTTCACGGTGTGTGTGTGTTCACTGCTGTGTGTGTGCACTTTGGATGGGTTAAATGCAGAGCACTAATTCCGAGTATGGGTCACCATACTTGGCCACATGTCACGTCACAAAATAAGTGAATTAGACACGCCCCTTCTTTCTTTAGCAATATATTTACCTGCCCCGCAGACGCAAGATAAGCACCTGTTTTGAAGATCCTCTGCTCCTTCCAGCGATGAAAAGCTTGACCGTCTTGCTTCTTTTTGTTCACGTCGCCTTTTGACATCTTTATTGTCCATTTAAATGTACTGTTTGAACACATTTCGCCCCCTCCAAACTCATAAAAACTCTTTCAGTGCCTGTTGCCCATATATGGAGTGCGCTCCGTAAACGTGCAAAATGGTTGAGAGGCAGACAACTCCTCAAAAGCCTTCTGATTGGCTAAACAAAGAACCTAATCCCGGGGTTATTTGTTATTTATTTTAGTGGCCTGTGTGACCTCAATGTGAGTCTAATGATAGTGATATCTTTCTGCAGTAGTGTTATCTTTCTTCATTTCTACATTTCCTGCATGCCATTCCATAAGAGAGAGAGAGAGAGAGAGAGACAACTAAAGCATTAGATTAGATGCATTAGAAATACAAAATACAGAATATAAATATAAGAATAAATTAAAAATATAAAAGAGGTCATATTCGATCATTTTTTAATTTTATTATTTTTCCTTTTGTTCACTTCTAATACAAAACCAGTAATAAGAGTAATTTTTTTTAAATTGAGTTGAATAAATAAGCTTTCCATTGATTTATGGTTTGTTAGGATAGGACAATATTTGGCCGAGATACAACTATTTGAAAATCTGAGGGAGCAAAAAATAAAAAATTCAAAATATTGAGAACAATCACCTTTAAAGTTGTCCAAATTAAGTTCTTAGCAATGCATGTTACTAATCAAAAATTAAGTTTTGATATATTTACGGTAGGAAATTTACAAAATATCTTCATGGAATATGAATTTTAGTTAATATCCTAATGATTTTTGGCATAAAAGAAAAATCAGTAATTTTGGCTCATACAATGCATTTTTGGCTATTGCTACATATACCCGTGTGACTTCTGACTGGTTTTGTGCTCCAGGGTCACATATTAGTTTATTTATTTTTTTTTTATATATTTTTGGGGATAAAGTCTTATTAAAATGTTATATTACCCCTCTTCTGACCACCAAAATAAATCCAGCTATGTTATTAAATGTCTTTTCTCCCTTTCTTAGAACCATTAACAGCCAAGAATATGAGATAGGCCTGGATGTTTATATGGGAAAGACATTAATCTCTGTTACATCATACAGTTGCATAAAGTGCAGAGCAAGTAATTTCTACAACCAAATTTTCATAAACTGCCATTTTATTATGAGGAAGAGCATTTCTAATAACAGAATGAACTCTTAAATTTAAAAAGGCCAACATAAAATTGATTGTAAATGATATGACGTTAATATTCCACTTTAAACTAACCAGTGTGTGCAGGTGAAATATTTAAAAATGTAGAAACAAAGCAAAAAAAAAAAAAAAGTCAATAAGCTCCAAATTACAAGCGAATTCTGATACAATCTGTCAAACATTTAAAACTCTAAAGCATGGCTCTGTGATGATATATCTGGTAATTAAATACATCACTTTTTATAGTTGTAGTACAAATGCCAAAGAAGCAGAAAGTGGCTGAAACAAAGCTGGAAATATCAGTAGTGTTTGAAAATGTAGGAAAATGTTGTATTGTGTCTCAAATGACACCTTCATGCATAATGCCTAATGTGGCGTGCTAACCTTCTGGCTGCTGGAGAGGGAGATGAATCCAGACAGCATGCAGAAATGGTAATGGAGGTGCTTTAGCAAAGGTTACCATCTCTCCACAGACCCAGCCCGGGCCGCTCCCTCACCTTCTTGCGTAAAAATCAAAGGAAATGTTACATCTGAATAAGCTGTAAATGCACAGAAAGTTCACACGGGTGACCCGCAGTGCTGCAATGAAAGCCGGGAACGCACTTTGGTAGAGAACCCTGAATGTATTTACAGCCATAAAATGTGTTTTGATTTGTCATTAGGAGTGCAGAGACTCAGAAATTGTGCTCAAAAATGTTTTATCTTTAAAAGCTAAAAAAATGAAGACGAAAGAAGACTATTCATTTTTTTTATGCTAGACATTCTTTTATCCTAATAACCCATATTTTATGTTCTTTCCTCACATTTAATAAACAAAAAGCGCAACGGCTATTTTGAAATTCCAGCGCTGTCCTGAGACGCCCCACTTCTAGTAATTGAATAGTGTGAGGGGGGGAACGTGCCCACCGCTGTGGCAAACTTTCAGGAAATGATGAGTAACAATTTTAAGGAGGAGCAGTAATGGCGCGTTCGCTCTCACAGTAGCAGAGATTCAGGAGTGATTAATGAAAACAAATTTTTCATGGCAATTAAAATGATTAAAGCTGGAGGGCCTTTTTACTGTTACCCTGAATTGCTCCAGGAACAAGGCGGCAACAAAGCTGCGAACCAAAATTGCATTAGTAGTGGAGGAGAACTGTATTAAAATGCAAATGTACAGCTGTTAATAGTTCTTCAAAAACCAATAATCCCCCACAGTCAGTCATGTGTCAGAATGGTTAATGGAAAAATATCCCAGAGGCACACATGGTCCTTTTCCATTCCGCTTCTGATTAAAACAGAAATTCTACAGAGGCAAAAGCAGAGCTCGGAGTGGGATGGGATCGGCTGGGATGGCTTAATGTTGGCAGGAGACCAAAACCCATTGTTCGGAATTTCCCTGACTTTAAGGCATGCTTTGTCCCCCCCTGGGACGGCTGTGAAGTGCTAAGCAGGGAAAGAAAGCTACTAAATCTGATCTGGAGGTATTAAAGCTATTTATCATGAAGGTGTTTAGCGCATAATCTGTATCGAGCAACATCTGAATTAAATACACATGATAGTCAGGCCCCTCCTTGCAACAGAAACGGGCTCAGCCGAAAGAGAGTGTGGGGTGCGGGCGTCATAATTGAATAAATACTGTGTTTGGTTATCCTGTCACTTAATTATGATTCTGCCGCAGGTTGTGTTATAGATGTCGAAGCGTTCTGACCCACCAGAGGGAGAAATGCTGTTCTGTCTCTCATTCCTGCGCAGGAGGGGAGCTGCCAATGGACCAAACAAGTTGATTAAGAACATTATCATTTAATAGGTTTTGGGGAACCAGCAACAACAAGCAAAACATATGATTTTTTATATATATCTTCACATAACATAATTAATTTTTTTTTATTTCACAGTTTTTTAGTGAAGTCTAGTTTAGTGGTTTTTAATCATAGCAAAGCAGTTTCAAAGGCCTAACAATGAAAGCAGTATAAAATATTATACATATATAGATTTGATGCACGGAAATATTGATATAAAGCTTAATTTTCTAGATAGATAGATAGATAGATAGATAGATAGATAGATAGATAGATAGATAGATTTATGTTTATGATTTATGTTGATTAGAAAGAAAAAATATAAGGCAAACTTCAGACAGCTCCAAAATGAGTCTGCCTGCAAAACCCCTGTAGACATGTGATGAAGACACAAACCTAGCACCCTCTTTAATTACTGATAAGTTGTGAGCCAGCTAAACTCTTTAGATTGCTCCCGCCGGAGGCCTTAATCACTTTAAGGCGGACCGCTGATCCTAACTGCTGCATTGGAGTGTTCTGTGGCAGTGAAACTATCGGTCTGCTGGCCTCACCCGATCCCATTTCCTGCTGCTGAGACAGTGCATCTGCAAATGAAAGATCTCCCTGCTCCTGCTGGGAAATGGAAAGTGGTTTTGTTTAGCGATAGTAAAAGAGATAGATTAAAATTTCTGTATAGTTTTAAATGGGCTTAAATATTTCACAGTTGTAATTTAGATTTCAATACCATTCTCTATCCCTTCTCTGACGCTTACAAATTAACAAGATAAGCGTGTAGAAAAAAAGGTTTTCATATCACATTCTGAGAAACACAATAATAATGACTCCACCTGATAAAACTTTCAGTATTTTATTCATTTGTACATCTCCATCCTCTTGTTCCCCTGAAAGTAAACATGATCATACAGATAAGTACTTCTAATATATATTTTTGACAGTTTTACAGCCCCTGTACAAGAGCATGGATTTCATTGAGTTCACATCTACATCAGCAACATCAGTTTCTTTGTCCAAAGAACCGAGAACAAGCATATATGGGATTGGGAGCTGAGAGGGAGAGAGCGAGAGTGTGGGGTTTTGGGTTAACAGACAATGAGTGAAGGCATATACAGAAGCAGCTCCATCAGGATCAACTATGTACAATACAAACCATTCATACAAATTAGGCTCTAGATATAGAATTAATTACATTACAGTGTATTATAAGTGACAATGAGCAAGCCCTCCAACCATTCCTGGATCGTATTAAACTACAGGACACAGCTCGGGCCGAACAATTCGCAATTATTACAGTACAGCTTCTTTGTAATAGGTAGAAAACATGCCTGTAGTTAAGGCCTGCTCATAACCAGCAGAACAAAGCCATTCTCCTCATCTTTGGGCCTTTGGGCTGGGAGGAATAACTCAAGAACGTGTGGGGACTCCAGGGCTGTTCAAAAGTTTGTAGGTGGAGGGAACATTGAGATTCTGATCGCGAATAATTCTCCTGCGACATCGCTTCTGAGGTGAGCTACCAGCTAAACGAAAAAGTCCTACTGTATCTACACCTTCGTGGCCTTTTGGCAGTTCTAATAACATGTACATACTTGTACAAATCAACTAATTAAACGAATATTCTGAAAATCAAACACTTGCACAATTCTAAATTAAAACGGAACATTACAAGACAAAATTGAGAGTTTACATGGTTATACAAGAAACACTCCAGTGGTAAAATAATATTCTAAGAACATTAAAATATATAAACAATACATTAACAATAATATGTGCTTTAACTTAAAGGAAACCAAGTGAGCAAACAAAAGCACTACATTATGCCCTCAAATGAAAGTTTCATGTAGTACTTGTGCAAATAGCCAAATTCTTATCTTTTCAAGTCGATTTAATAGATCCGGGCCATGAGCGCATGGTATGGGCGGTTCGGGGAACATGTATTTGTTGTGGATGGGGAGAGAGCTCCATCCTTTGCCTCTCGTTGTCCTTCATGTGGGTGACGTCAGCGGCTACCTTCAGCCGGAAGGGAAGTAAGGAGTATCGCTGTGGTAGTTATAATCTGGGCAGACTTTCTGCACTAGCTTGTAGTCGGTGCTGTAGAAGGAGATGTAAATGCAAATGACTTTGAAGGGCTTCGAGCAGAGCCAGGATACGTGGCTTTGCGTCTGCTCCTGGTAACATGTCTTGGATGGGTCGAAGTTGCAGAGCGTGTTTTTGGAGCCCCTCTCCACCTTCTCGTACTCGATGCGGCAGTTGAAGGACTTGGAATCCTTGGAGTCAATGACCGACTGCTGGGCCGTCAAGTCAAACTCCACGATTTTGCTGGGTGGGACCAGGCTGACGGACACATTGCCCTGGCCCGTGGAGTTATGGCGGAAGAAGACGCTGAAGGTGCCGTTGCCGTGATCGACGATCTTTCCGGTGATCAGGAGGTTGAGCTTGACCGTTTTGATGTTGGAGTGGAAATCTCCCCAGCCGAACATTTTCTTGAACTTGCCTGTCTTGACCATCGGCCGCCGTTTGGCTCGAGGCCTGGAGTCCTGCAGGTCCGTGGTATTCCTCAGCCAGTCCCACAGATCCTGCTCTGAGTAAGGCTCCGGAGTGTCATAGTGCAGGTCCAGGGCTGTTGCGTTTTCCTTCCCATGGAGAGTCTGTGATAGAAGTCGACTGATGGACAAGTCCTTACTGCTTTCTGTCCATATATGCTTTAGTGTCGACTTGGGGCTCCCTGATTTGAGCAGCTCCGACTTCCCCGGGATAGAACCGTGGGCACTTGAAACCTAAGAAAGCAAGATGGAGAGGACGTTATTGAGCCGTCTTAACCTTAAAGAGCTACAGAAGACGCATAATGCAAAGCAAGTGAGCATTTCATCCAGTGCCGCTTGACAGGAAAAAGGAATTAAGTGGATATTACTCTTGATTTGGGAGATATTGACCCCTCACCCCCACACAATCATGTAGTCTCCTACTCAACAGACAGATCAAATGGATTAGGATGAGGGTGGAAAAAAAGATAATCGATCGAGCCCGCAAGGTTCAATTTGCAAGGTGTTAGCTGACAGGAGCCGTCTGGGAAATGGAACGGAGCGTGGCGAATGAGAAAAAGAATACAACGATCAAACTCGCCACGTCGTGCGGTCGGGGAGGGGATCTCCGCCGGCCCTCCCTGATAATACCGGTGACTATTCTTTGAGTAAAGAGCAGACTATTAACCAGCCAGTGCTCCTTGAATTGATGATTGATGAACCACTGGGTTCTCTCCATTTAGTGCAGATGAGTGGAATTAGGTCCATACAGGGCCTGGCGGAGCGCCGTGACATTGATTGTCTGATTTCTACTGTAAGACCTGACAGCAGATCCGTCTTGCGGTGGTTTTTGCATCTCGAGGGCTACCCCTGGGATCGATAGTTAGAAAATAAGGTCTCGCTACCAATCTGCCCGACCCTTCGGACAGAATTGCCTCACAGCATGTGCGAGAGCGAGGGAGATGCGAGTCCATTTTAAACACAGTGCTGGGTGGGAGCAGGGCCACGTGGCTCACTTAAGGATTTCATGTTGCGAACCTGAAAGGTAATCGATATCTGACTTGAAGAGTGGTTCAAAATGCAAATTAAGAGAAGTTTAACTTAAAAACTTGAGAACTGCACGATAGCGCGCCGCTCGTGTTCAGAACTCACATTAAATATTTGTTAAAAATGAATGAATAAAAACGCACAACTCAACATGCACCTGACAAGCAAGCACTCTAGTGATGAAGAACCCTGGGAAGAGAGTTCAAATATGTTTCCAATAAAATTAACGATCATTACTCTTCCTCATGTGTGGAGTAAGAGGCCTTGCCCTGTACTAAAAGAGTAATATGTTTTGCGCTCTGGGAGCATGATTAAAGATGGAGTTATTATTTATTAATGGCTAATTGCTGAAGGGGCAATACAAACATTCCAAGGCTGAGCAAGTTTCAAGGAGCTATTTGTGTGAAGTTCAGTGCAGCCTGACCGACTGGGAGGGCACTTGCATTGATAAATGGATCTTTATAGTGCTTGATTTAGCAAAATATTGAGGGAAAAACATGTTTCATGTTTATGTATTCATCAACCAATGGATTATAGTGTAATGCAATAAAACACTTGCAAAACATTTTAACAAGTGTCCTGGGTTATGTAACATACAGTCGATATATAGTCAGGTAGTCACGATCATATTAATATTAAAATTATTATATAATAATTCCTACTACCACACTCTAAAAAAATGCTGGGTTAAATACAACCCAGTGCTGGGTAAAATAGGGACAAACCCAGCAATTGGGCTGTTTTGACCCAGCGGTTGGGTTAAATGTTTAACCCAACCTTCTGGGTAGTAACCCAACCGCTTGGTCAAAACAACACAATTGCTGGGTTTGTCCCTATTTTACCCAGCACTGGGTTGTATTTAACCCAGCATTTTTTAGAGTGCACCACTACTACTACTAATTTTAATAATAATAATAATACTTTTAAATTGAATTGGTTTGTATTATTTTTATTTGTAATTGTTTTATGTTCTTTATTTTCTTGTTCTTTTATATTTGTTTATTTATTTCTTATTTTTATTGTATTCTATGACATTCATTCAGTATGGTTTCTGTAATGCACTTTGTAAACACTGTTTTTAAAAGATGCTATAGAAATAAAGCTTTATATACTAAACCCTAATAGAGTAATCAGGATCTTGTATCACACTGAAAGTTTATTTGATAATGACCGGCTAACCTGCTTATTACAAAGCTAATTACCAAATAAATGGACACGAAATGAAGTTGAAATTATTTTACTGCAAAGAGATTTGTCAAATCTCAAGCATGCAGTTTAAAGGTCATTATACCAAAATATTTGATGGCAGAATACTGCAACTGATCAATCAGAATAAAGCATTTCAGATATTCATTCTAATTGAGTCATTAATGAGTGGAATAAGTGTTAGAATTTTAGCTCTTACATTTATAAACAGCCATTTAAAAGGTAAAGGTAAATCCTGAGACTAGCATTCAACAACTGAAAAACAAACAGTGTCTTACTCTTTGCCTATGGCTAGTCTGTATCTGTCCACCTTTGGCGACCTTAAAAAGCTCACACGTTGACAGCACAAACAGCGAAACACTGGCCAGGAGTCAGTTCTCCTGGGCACAAAGCCTGCACACATAGCGGATGTCTGAATGCAAGCCTCGGTCTTTCCACTCTGTCTTGCCATGACGGGCTTGGATCCAGCCCGACTGCTGGAGCTTTACGGAGCCAGCTGCAGTGCTCACCTGAGGCAACAGTGCATCTGGTAAACACATTCGGGGGGGGGTGTCATGGCCAAGCCCTTCCCACCTCACCCACTGACAGCCAGTCAGCCAGGCACAAACAGCTGGACTCCCCCAGGCACTGCACTGCATCAGGTCAGCAAGAGCAGCATGTGTACACCAATCTGTGAGCCTGGTGTGAGTCTTAATGAGTCTGCCTGCTTTAAGAACTTCAAGGCTGACAGATCAGATCATATTGGTTACATTCTTAATCCCAACAGCAAGCTGAACAACATCAAACATTATAAATATTAAAAGGCTTTTACAAATGCAAACATTGTTCATTCCAACAATACAGGATTCAGGACATGCTGTTCATCAACATGGGGAGTGTGCAAAAAGACGTTTTTAAAATCATCCAGTTGGTGGGTTGCGCAAATGGCTATTCTGGACTATTTTTAACTTGACACAGCATCTGAAAACACAAAAGCCATGATGGGACAAACAAAAACCAATGCAAGACATGATACAACAGCCTAAGATGTCCATCTGAATATTAGTAATATTAGATCTAACATTTCAAAGAGGGTTTTATTGTGCAAATATTCAAACAAGTAAAGCATGGCAACTAATAATATAATATATTATAATAATATAATATAATATAATATAATATAAATTATTATTTTATTTATTATTTTATTATACGTATCTAAAAATTGTATTTAATTGTTTTATGTTAAATGTATAAGAATATTACTCTGTGTGTGTGTGTGTATAATATAATATAATATATAATATGGTTTATTATCTCATATATAATTATTAAAAAATATGAGAAAATCAATACATAATTTTCACACTATATAGTTCAAAGAAATGTGAGTGCAAATTAAATTCAGCAACTTGCCAAATGATGTTTTTTTAGAATTATGAACGGTCACTTTTGTGCCAGTGACTAACAGAAAATTACACACTGCAACATGGAGAGGTAACAATGCATTTAACCTTGAAATACATGCTCTATGACTGCACTGCAGTACCAACTAACGGCAAGAATCAGACCCTGCTTGCCTAACATAAGCCAGAGCTACATTTGGTCCTAATTAATGATAGCAGATTAAATGGAATAATTATGCAGGCTAATTCTGAAAATGCAATTATGTTATTGCCGCTCATTTGTGTTTCTATTTGAATGTTAATTTGCACTAATTAAGGTATTAATATGCATCAATAAGTCAACTACAGTGTAAGCTAGTATATTATTGACACATTGATTACATCGCCAAGGCTGTTTACTTAGTAAGTGAAACATTACAATGTGCTTGTTCCCAGCATTTCTGCAGGTGTCCATATCTTTAAAACTGGCCCATTAAAAGGGGACATTTAAATTAGCTTTTTAAAATCATAATCAGCCTTGGCTTCGGGGGGTGTCCTTTAAAGAGAAATGATCAAGATCAAAAAAGAAAATTTTTATTTTATATTCCAGAAAAATGTATCATAAACTGAAAGAGAGTGTGTGTGTGTGTGTGTGTGTACACACACACACACTCACACTCACACACACACACAGTAATATTCTTATACATTTAACATAAAACAATTAAATAAAATTTTAAATACATATAATAATAAATAAAATAATAATTTATATAGAATTCTTATATTATATTATATAGATTTATATTATATTATATTATATTATATTATATATATACTCAAAATTTCCATACTGATGTCTGCATTATGGAGGGTAAGTACTCTTGCTGTGTGAGGTAACTTCCTTTCATAGTCGTATTGTCTCTTTGACAGAGCTAGCATATGAAACAGCAGGTGGACTAAAGGTCAACCGATAATGACCATTGTTATAATAGCTTTTGTAAAACAACGGTAGTAAGAGAATGAGCAGAGGGAGTAGATAAAACCCAGAGTAGAGGAAAAATTGTCTCAACTCTGACCCTGAGAGCACATTTCACCACTTAGCTTTACACTACAGAAATACACTAAACGCGAAGTGAGGGGAGAATTACAAAAACACGTCCGCCTGAGATAAACGTCACAGAGAAAACACGGTCTTTATCAATAAAACCGCTAAGTTGAGGCCAAAACCTGCACAGTGCAAAACAATATACCATAAAAATGTTCAGCGGATCATTCCGGTGCCTCACTTTAACAACCTCCCAAACAATGTTTACAGCCCGGGAGATGAGATAAAACGGTGCATATCTTCTTCCTCCTCAGCAATTCACTGCCATCCACAACCTAGACACTTAAACAAGGCACCTCATGCTGCGGCCGTCCTGAGAGAAATGAAAAGGAAAGGCAAAAATGAAGATGGATTTCAACTAAATTCACTTCTGCTAACAAAGCACTCGCAGGCTTTGCTAGCCCCCCTTTCCTCGCTGCCTGCTGCCTGCGTTTGGTTTGTAGAAGTGTGAGGCATTGCACGGGCCCATTAGCGGCATAACTAAGCACTGTGCTTTAGGATGGGCCACTGGGGCAGAGGCATGCTTGCTG